AAGTGTTCCCCATGCCTTGGACCCCTGTGGGGCTTGCAGATGGTTTCCATTTCCAAGTTATCAGGAATGTATTCCTGGACTTTGCTGCTCAATCACACTGACGGCCTTGACTGGTCAAAAAAAAAAAGCCTCTTTTCCTTGGGTACAGAAACAGGAAAACATGCTATGTGGACTCGCTCTGCTCCCATTTCATCCTATTTCAACATCCAGAAGGGAAAAGAGAATGCTGTTTTAATCATGCTGTTTCCTAGGCTGGCGTTTCCACAGAATTAAAACTGAACTGCATCGTGGTGAGAATTTGACTCTGTGTGATGCTCCTTTACTCTAGAGGAGACTCAGCAATTTTCTCACAACAGTTACCTACACGTCTGTCTTATTAGCTGTGGAGGGGATGACATGTAACAATAGCCTCCTCTGGCAGGCTGGGAACTGCTGTGGTTTTAAGACTACCCCTACATTTTCTCAAAAGAACTTAAAGCCACCTCTTGAGTTACATAAGCAGCCCTGGGAAACTCACAAAGGGTGGCTAGTCTGATACCAGGCAATACGCTTTTGGGATAATCTCTACAGTGCCTCACAGAATTTCAAATTTACACACACACCAAGAACAGAAATTGGTAAGTATGATATCTGGGCACCTTTCAGATTGAGATAGCCTATTTCTGACAGAATACCTCTGAGGTCTCAGGTCTTCATTAATCAATCTGAAACAAAAACACAGCTGCATACACAGAAATTAGTTAGTGATGCCAATTACATTGAATGTGTTGAACACACAGACTGAGAGGTTAAGCAGCCCTTAAGAGCCAGCCATTGTGCTTATTCATCAGTAGGCATGTATGGTCCTTCTTAGTAACAAAAATTACTATCCCAACCTCACAAATGAAGAAAGTGAAATTCAGCAAGGGTTGAGGTAATTTGACCAAAACTTAATAGCTAATGCCTAGAGGCTGTTTACAATAAGTTTCTTCCCAAATGCCCCAGGGAAACCTCCCCCAAAACACATCTACTCCAAACACAAAGAGTATAACTTATCTTTTTAAAAATTCTGACTCTCTTCAACCTCATAGTCATTTCAAAAAGCAAAGGTCAGTTCATTGTATTATCTAAAGTCTTAGGATAAACTGGAAAAGGTTAAGTGAGTTGAGAAAACTAGATAAAATGATAAAGATTCTGCACCTGTCCTGGGAAACTTGTCCATGCACTCAGTGTTCTTCCTCAACAGTTACCTGGTTTCCAGTTTACCAGCTGAAATAATCATTAGGAAGATAACAAAGGCACGAATGAATGGGGAAAACTACTTGAGAAAGACAAAGGCAGAGGCAAATCAAAGCATTTCTTTCAACAGAAATCAAACACCAGAGGCACTTGCTTTTGTATAGCTTACAGGTCTTTTGGCAAAATTTTCTGAAACTAAAATTTTACCAGCAATCACAAAATAAGACAATTTTTAAAATAAATTCTTTATTTAATAAGCAGTGTTTATTCCAGCATTTGAAGTTTAATAGTGCTGACTGTGAGTTCTGAACCATGACATGAAGGTCAATACAACCCACTTACTTTAGGACTACATGGGGAGATGAATATATCCGAGACTAGACAGGCTTTCCCTTTAAAATGTGTATTTAGAAAGACCAAAACCAATTGTTTTCCAAAGACCAATATGAAATCACTATCAAATAATATTCTATACCAACTAGTTTAGAATCACATCATTAACAAGATTTACTTTGTTGTAGGTATACATAAACAACATATCTATACATATATGTATACATGTATGTATATAGTGTGTACATATGCCACTTAAATTGCTTTTTAAAATGGTTCTGGGTGTTGCAATTTTTTGAAGAACTACCATGATTAGCATACACATTTGTTTTGCAGTTATCAAATCTCCCCCAAAGATATTTTTTTCTCTGGTATCACACTCCACTTACTATAACCACAGAATGAAAATGGCTAAAATTGCTCTTAATGTGAAATTAAGGGGGGGAAAAACCTAGAGAAACAAATTTACTGCCTCTTAAACATACTATGATTTGTTCTGGTAAATCCAAGAGGATTATAAAGAGGCCTCCAAGGATAGGAAACCTAAATGCTTAGGGTTCTTCTATTAAGTACTTAAACTAGGATTGGTAGGGGGTTGTGGGGTGGAGGAGAAAAGTTTCCTCTCTGACACAATGGCAGCTTGAGAATCAGTTAAAGAACAGAAATGTCAAGGTTCATATACTCACTTTTGGTGCCATTTTATTATGATTCATTTAGTTCCCTTTCTCTACCTGCTAGCAAAAAAAAAAAAGAAAAAAAAAAAAAAACCCTGGCTAAAGGAATAAGATAACTGTTAATAATTTAAAATTTTGATTTTGAAATTATCTTATTTAAAAGCCTAAAATTCATTGAATTCGGAGCAATACAGACTATTGATTTAAGCCTATATTCCAATGCACCCCTCTCCCAAAACACTACCTAAAAGATTTTAAGTGCATATAACCCTCTAAATCATAATAAACCTCAGAATTCTAAGGAACAGAGAGGGTGTGGTACTTACCACCTGGAAGGTAGCCAGGCAGCCATTCTAGCAATTATAGGCTCTTACATATTAAACATGGTCAATATTAAGCTTTTATTAAAAGGGACAAAAGAAATAATTTCCACTCACTTGCTGCCACGTGTTATTCCACCAGGACTACTGAGAATCCTTTAGCACAAAGTCCTTTTAAATATAACCTACCATCTAAAAAAGAAATATAATATTTAGCTCCTACTTGTTATATGCAGTAAATCCCCTTTGGGATGGTAGAAGCAAATTAACCCCAAAAGAAACCAAAAGAATCACTATCTGGAAAATACATCATTGATAGAAAATCAGCCATCAAAGGAATATCATGGCTTCTGTTTGATATTGCTTTAAAAAAATTTTTTTTTAAGGAAGAGTATGGGTTTAAAACTTAACCATCTTCACCCCAACAGCTCTAGCTGCCTCGTTCCTCTCCATCTTCATGGACTTTGCCTTTTGGAATTCTTAATGAAACAATAAAGGTAGGAAGCCAGAGACCCCAGTTAAGTGTTAGGATGCTGACAAGGTAACCATTTTCTCGCGCTGGCTTCTGTAGGCCATCTTGTTGGTATAAATGCCAAGATGTCTTAATTTTTCCCAGGTGGTGTCACTAGTGGCAACACCCATCGCTGGTTGGAGACCAAAGTCCCCTTGGTCAAATGACTGGCAACAAAGATCCTATCAGGAAAACGGTTAATTGATGCAAATTAGGAAAGCAAACTGACCATCCCTGCAATGCAATATGTTACAGGAAAAAGAACAATGGACAGTTCTAGAAAGAAAAAACCGCAGCGTGTGTTCAAAAATATTTAACCCACAATTTGCCCTCGCCAAAAAGGCTAATCCTATTTTTGGCCAACTGAACTCGGTAAGAATGCAAAAGACGAGTGGTGCTTGGGAAAGAAGAAACAGACACGCGGAATGGAGTGAGGAGGAGGGGGATGGCTGTCATTTGTGTCCAAGGGTTTAACGAAACATTTAGGGCAAACGCCTTTGTTCCTAGGCTTCGGAGGGGAGTGGGTGGGTAGATGATGGGGAGATCAGATGGGGCTGCCTGGTCCTCCACACCCTGCTCTCCGGCGCATGCGCGAGGCCAAGACAAAGGAATAGGTAATTACAGTCCCGATTCATTCATTTTGCCCGCAGTACAGGAGGTCTGTTAGCCTCAGCTGTATTCCTGGGGGGTGGGGGTTAACCCACACCCCTATAGCGTAAGACCACTTCGATGCTAGTGTTTGATTTTAATCCGCCAAGCAAGTGCTAGTGGCCTTGGCAAAGACAGAGGTGTGTCAGCCCTGCAGAAGATACAAAAATGCACCCATGTGCGCTGTGCTAATTTCAACACGGCGAAAACGACACGGGTGAAGGCTGTCCACCGAGTTCGTTTCAAAGTAGAAATGTCTCTGGGCAAGGAGATAAGGAACCGAGCCAAGCGTTCGATGAATATTCATGAAAAGAATGTGGTTCTCGGCCACGACTTGTGTATGTGATCGGATCCAGAGAGTCCGAAATTTTGATTATTTTTTCTGGTGAGGGGGAGCAGGACCCGGGCGTCGGGTTTCAGCGTTAGCGCTCTGCAAAAACTGCTAAATCCCAATCCTTGGCTCGCAACTGGGCTGCCCGGGTTTGGGCCGCGCGCTGTGAGGCTCAAGTTCACACCCCCAGGCCGGGGCGGCGGTGGAGGAGCGCGGAGAATTCCCTGAGCCGAAGGCTCAAAAAAATAAAATGCTCGGAGGTGGAGCACGGGTTAGGGGGAAGGCTATACAGCCACGATCGAGGCTGGGGCTTTGATCTGCCTAGATGTGCTTCTGGATGCTCGCTGTCGTGTGAACCTCGTGTTCCTTGGCCACCCCAGACCAAGATCTAGGAGTCCTATGGGCCAAGGAGACCCATCTGCCACACCAAAAACCCACCCTCTGCCTTTGGATCAGACCAGATTCTCCGTCTTCTTTCTCCCCTTACTCCCACCCCACCCTACCCCCACCTCCATCTTTTGCTGCTGCGCCCCTCACACCGAGCGCTTTCTTCGCGGCTGTGAATGGTGTAGATGACAGAAACGCTCGGTTCAGTCCGCAAACCCTTGTCTTTGGGACTCGATGCGCTTGAAGGGTTTCGCATTTAGCATTTCCTCATTCACCAGCCGCTTCCCTCCCGCTAGCCCCCTTCCTCCCAAACTCCACTTATCAGCCTAGCCACCACCCCCATCATCCTCCCCACCCCGGGAGTGACCGAAGCCGCCCACCTCGGGCCCCCCCATCACCCGGGATCCCAAAGCGCGACGGAGCCCTCAGGAAGGGAACCCACGCCCCGCTGCCGTCTAATCCCGGCCGCGCCCGGGCTGCCTGCGGCACGGAGAGGGCTCCAGGGGCTTCGGGGTGGGGCGGGGAGTCGGAGGGGACCTCGGTCCCCAAGACCGCGGTGGCGGCGGGCGCTTCCTTACCGGCTCTGGGTGCCTGTGCCGCCCCTGGGTGAGCGCGGTGCCGCCGAGGGGCCCGGGTCGCTGGCGTCCTCAGGCCCGGAGCCTGGATGCTGGCGGAGGCGCTCTCCCGGCTCGACGGCGGAGCCCGGAGCGAGGAGCGAGTTGGAGCGCTGCCGCCGCCGCCGTCGCCGCTGCCGCTACTGCCGCCGCCGCCGCCGCTGCAGCCTCTGCATTTCTCGCGCTCGCGCTCCCCCTCCCCTTCCTGCCCAGCGCCCTCCCCCGGCGCGGCCGCCCGCCCAGCTCCCTCCGCCCGCCGACCCCGCCCGCCTCTCGCCCCTCCCCTCCCTCTCCTCCCCTCCCCTCCAGCCGGCGCCCCGCCCGCCCCCCAACTCTCTGCGCCCCTAACTCTCTCCCCTCCTGCAGCCCCACCCTCCCCTCCCCTCCCCTTCCCTCCCCTCCCCTCCCCTCCCCTCCAACCCCGCGCCGCTCCCGCTTCCCCCAACTCCCCACTATCCAAGTGCCCCCACCCCCTCCACTCCTGCACAGTCACCCCATCCTCTCCTCCTCTCCAACCCAGCGCCTCCCCCAACTGCCCTCTATCCATCTTTCCCACACTTGCCTTCCCTCCTTTCCACTCCCCTCCATTCCCCCCCGCCGCGCCGGTGTCAGTCCTCTCTCTCTCTCTCTCTCTCTCTCTCTCTCTCTCTCTCTCTCTCTCTCTTTTTCTCTCTCTCTCTCTGTCTCATTTATTTGGAACGGTTGAATAAGAAGTGTTCTTTCGGGCTCTTGCTCAGATTCAGGGGACTGATGAATGACACTCCTGCCACAAGCTACCCTTCTTAGCACCCTAATCCTCCCGGCTCCAGACGTCCGGCTGAGATTCCGCTATCCCAGCAGGCAGAGGGGTTTGGGGTAACCAACTGGCTCCCCTCAGCCCATCAGGACAGAGGCCGGCGGGTTTTAGGGTGGCCCAAGAGCAGGCACGTCTGGGCTGCGCTGCCTCTGCGTCCCACACGCGCACCTCGGGCGGCTCCTGCACCCGCGGGCTGAGCCGGGAGGCAGCAGCTTTGAGAAGCTACGCCGCCGAAGTCCAGCGGGAAGGACGGGCCGCATCGCCCCTCGGAGGATGCTCTCGGGACTTGGGAGAAGAAGGAGGGAAGAAAAGCGCCCTAGTAAAGGCACCGTCGACTTTTGATGTCTGCTTTTATGGAGGCCACCAGCTCTGCGAAACAGGCTGGCCATAGCAACCAGCACAGTGCTGCTGGGAACGCACCGGTACTGGCTGTGGCCAACCGTGTTGTGTCCAGGTGCTTGTTCTAGGGGGGCGACCACTTTGTGTAACGTCTGAACACAAGATAGCCACCAAATTTGGGAGATATGTTCACCGTGCTTACCTGTTGACAAGAGGGAAATACAAAAAATAACACATTGTGGCACCGTTTATAACCGTAGATTCTTTAGACAAAAGCCAATTTTACCTTCCCGCAAAACCCAACTGGACCTTTGGAACTTTCTTTTGCTGCATTTTGGCGCCCTCTGGCCGCGATTGGAGTGCTTGCATATTCTCTGCATCCCAGCAAAGAAAAACCCACCCAGTACCCTCCTGACCTGGGCTTGTATTCAGAACAAGCCTAGCCTCCAGAATTGCGATAACAAAATGTAACCATATTTAGGGGGACACATAATAAAGGTAAGTACATCCGTACCCCATGGGAGAAAGGTAAGTGGTTTTTCTTTAACAGGAAAATAAACTCATTAGAACTTTAAGTTAATTAAAGTGCAATCTCCACCGAATTCTAAAGTGGTGGGTTTGCAGTGCAAATACTTGTAGTTACAGTTTTATGAGGCTGCGCCAAATTACATCAACACATGCAAGCTGGAAATGTTGCATTTTAACCCATTGGTGATAGAAAAAAGGGTGAGGATGGCTTGTTTTTCTCTTCTCCTCTATCCTCTTTACTCTTTTCTCTCTCCTCTCTTCTCTCTTTTCTCTAGACTGTCTTCTCTCCTGCTATTTAAATGAAATGAGAACTAAACATAGTACAAGGACCAAAAGCAAATTGTGAGTGTTATTGCTGCCAATGCATTTTATTCATTTGAGCATTTATGGCAGTATACCACCTATGAAGCTACATGAGGGGTTTCACAGCCTCCTATCTGAGGCGGGATATTTCCCACACCACTACCAGTGGTGACAATCAAAAATGGCTCCAGATATTGCCAAATGTCCTTGGGAGGCAAAACCACTCCAGCCTGGAAAAAAAATTGGGCTATAAAATTGTTAACTTTTATAAACAAGTCTCTTATAGATGAATAGTTACAATTTTATGCTCAAGATATTTTCTGACTTTGTTAGAGGAGCTGAGTAGTTATTTATTTACATTCAGGTATTTTTTTATCCCAGTGGTCATCTTAGAATTAGAAAATATGTTCCCATTGTATTTGCATGATAAGCTTTGAGTGTTCTACGTTTTCTTTTTCCATTTAAAAAAAATCAGACATGATAAAAATCAATGTTCAGTACCTTCAGTGCTTCTGGCTAAATTTTCATGATGCAGAGAGAAAACAAGTCTTTCAAAGGTGTGGTTGGAATACAGATCACAGGTTACTATGGAAACTGGAGGCAAAAATCTTATACCAATGAAGAGAACTGCAGATCTCCTCAATTTTCTCTCCCATTGGATTTAGTTGTTTTCTTCAAATGTTTATTAAAAAGAAAGAATGAAGAGGTGCTGGGTTACAGCTCAGCAATAGAGCACTTGCCTAGCTGGAGGCCACTTGGTTCAATTCCTAATACCACAAAAATGAGGGACAAAGACATAGAAAGGAATTCTGCCAAAATGTTTCATTATAATGCAACTATATCTCTATATACAATACAGCTTGGGGATGTTTTTAGTTGTTGCTCCAATGACTTACCTTTTAGAATGTACGCTTTTTTTTTTTCCTTTGGTGGGACCAGGATTTGGATTCAACACTTTGGCACTAGTAAAGCAGGTGCTCTACCACTTAAGCTACACCTCCAATCTGGGCATATAATCTTGAAAATTTTTATAAAGCATACACTCAGAAAATCAGTGAGCAAAAACCTAAAGCTCTGGATTTTAGAAAAGCATTAGCATGACATGTTGTGGATGTCATGAGTTGTTTATATTATAGACTAATGAATTTGGGAGCTTATATTAAGGATAAAATTTATGGTGACTTTAATCATTTTTTGCCATTATATTCACGAAAAAAGACTACTCTCCAAATGAAATGAATATATTTTCAATAAACAAAGGCTGGACTTCTTGGCTCATCAACTGAATTCCACTTAACTGAATTCCTGCATGACTTGCTCCAGTGAAGCACAACTGACATGATGAAGATATTTACCAAAAATTATTCCATGATTACTGATTTTTGCTAACAGATTTGCCACAGAATCACTTGCTATATAAGGGACCCAGCACTCAAATTAGTCAGTTTTTGATAATGTCAATGTGTGTTCAGCTTTTTAAATCATGTCTACAGTATTAATTGAGACACCTGCAGTGGATTATTTATATAGACCCCACCTCAGCTGTCTACATCATCTACCGTTTCCTTTCCCTACCTCCCACATCACCCTGCAAAACCTAATCCTTTCTCTCTAAGTAGTGAAAAGAAGGTAAAGATCTCAAATAAAAGCTGTAAAACAACACAAATGAAACAAAGCATGGGGATAGTGGTAGTGTTACACCAGCCACCTCAGCTTGATAACTTTTGGATTATTCTTATTCATGCCACCAAGTTAACCCAACCCCTCCAAAACCCACTTAGAGAATTTGAAAGTATATTCAGTTTAACTGGTAAGTTTTGGGTTGAGGACCACTTTGTTGTAATTTGTTTAACAAATCTCATCTCCAGATGCAAGCAAAAGGCCAGTCAGTCTTACACATAGACGAAAGTATACTGCTTTCTTCCCTTACATACATTTACTATTTTTCATCAAAGGAGAATGCCAGAATTTATGTGATTACTTCATCATTCTCCTTTCCCTCCCCCATTATTACAACCTCGTTCTTTACACAGCCAAGTGAAAGGACTTCTTTTGTTTAAAGCAGTGGCTCCCGACCAGGGGTGCATCTGCCACCAAAGAATATTTAGCAATATCAGAGGGAAGCATTTTTGATTGTCACGTGGGAGGAGAGAAGAGGAGGGTGGAAAGGCACTGGTATTCAGTGGGTACAGGCCAGTGACTCTGGAACAATCCAACACTAAACAGACATCATTCAGTCCAAGCTGTCAGCACAGAGGATAATGATGAGGTTGGAAAACTCTGGTTTAAATGAATATGAAGTCACCACTCACTTGAGAAGGGCCTCCTTTTTATTTGTTTATTTATTCATTCAGTCATTTCTATTTATCATGAAAGCACTCAGTGCAGGAAGGAAGCTGCCTCTTTTGGGGGGGGTGGTTCTTCAGCAGACAGCAGCAGACTGGAAGCTAGATCATTTAATGGGAGCTCACAGGGCACTGGTATTCCCTGGCCCTTACTGACCTCCTCCCTCCACTGTAACAGGAATCCAGGCCAGTCAAGAGCAAGACCAGAGATTACCAGCAGGGATTTTGAATTCCTTCCCTGCCACTACATGCTGAGTAAAGCCACTGAAAGAAAAAGGCATAGGGTTCCCTATTTCGCCTTCCTTCTTATAAAGGGATAGCTGGGAAACCTGAGCAAACATTTGTTTATTACTACAAAGCACTGGACTTGAAATGGAAGAGACAGGCAGGACTTGGCACTACACTAGGAGAATTTGCCCAAGAGAAAAGGAGGATGAAAACAATGAGTCCACCTGAATAACTGTCATCCCCAGGTCTCTTCTCCCTTCCATCATCCAGAATTCCCTACCTGTCCCTTCAGTTCCAAAGTACTTCTCTACTCCCCATAAAGAAAACACACAAATCAGTGTTTGCTAGCCAACCTGCATGAACTTTTCCAGGGAGGCCCTGCCTGTTCCCACAGATATCAGCCAAGAGATTAAAGTGCAAGGGCCACAGTCTGGGGAAACAGTCCCCAATGCTCTGACTACACTCCCTGAATAGCTGCCTGTTAAACCCTTCAGAGAACAAGTGACTTTACAATGGCATAAAACGTTTGCCGTACAATTTTTCATGAAGGTGTATTTGGTTGTCACTATGGGAGGTGGA